GGTTTAATACCTCTTTTGGTCCCTAGAAAGGGGGCCAATGTTCAATGTGGTCCCACCTTTTTTTAGAAGTTCAATGTGATCCCATCTTTTGTAAAAAGTGTGCAATCAAGTCCTTTTTGCAAACGGCGTGAAGTTTTTAACGGAGCAGCTGACAGGGTGGACTGAATATCATTACGTGGCTTTGTGTGGGTAATACGTGGCAGAGAGAGGGTGATACGTGGCAGAGAGAGGGTAAATTTGGTAATATTAGTGAGGTTAGGAAATCAGAAGTTAGGGTTTCAGGAGTTTTAGAGAAATTGCTAATTTGGGATACGAATGGCTTCTTCTGAAGGGTGTTCATCGTGTTCGAGAAGTTGGGGCAAAGGATCTTCTCGGTGGTCCCATGGTTGTGGTGTGTGGTATTTTGATTTGAAAGATTCAGCACTTTCAGCAGTGAAGTTGATGAACAACATTGCCTGCCAATATCAACAATTTAAGTTTCTTTAACACGAGATAAAATGGGCATACAACCAAAACAAAGAAAATAATAGATATTATGGAACAGGAAGGGTAGGGGAAAGAAAAGTAGTTTAGGAAAATGCTATTTTGTTCAGATTACAGAAGGCAAAAAGCTGCTAGTAGCGCAATGGCCGCAACTGAAAACCTCAATTTAAATCCATGCTCTGCTACCCAGCTATAGCAATTAATGAAACATGGAGGTATTTAACACATAAAAATTCAGCTGCAATAGCGTTAATAATACGGAAATCTCAAGTTCAATATTGAAAGAACAAAATTGACTTAAACAGCAAATTTACCTTTGCATTGGGGCTGTTGAAGAACTTGACAACGAAAGGATGATTGTTAGGATCATTGTTAAAGATAGTAACGACAGGGATACTGGACTCCTCAACAAATTTCTCTAGAGTATCCACTTGGAAATCCTGCAAACACGAGTTAATTTTGACAGCCAGTATTAGATTAAAACATCAAATAAAATTGCAAAATTAATCCACATAAATCAGCACTACCTTGGAGTCAACAAAAAGTTCATCGAACGGCTTGAATAACCTAATTACAGGGCCAGCGACTGATGATTCACCTCTTGGAAGGTGTTTAGCATTCAGGGTGTGACCAAAGTCATAATCAGCACGCAACTTCTCTGCTAAGGCAGTAAAGTTATCAAACTCCTCGCCAGAAAATTTCGGGAAAACTCCAACCCTAACTTCTGATTTCATAACCTCACTAATATTACCAAATTTACCCTCTCTCTGCCACGTATCACCCTCTCTCTGCCACGTATTACCCACACAAAGCCACGTAATGATATTCAGTCCACCCTGTCAGCTGCTCCGTTAAAAACTTCACGCCGTTTGCAAAAAGGACTTGATTGCACACTTTTTACAAAAGATGGGATCACATTGAACTTCGAAAAAAAGGTGGGACCACATTGAACATTGGCCCCCTTTCTAGGGACCAAAAGAGGTATTAAACCTATTTTTATTGAATATTAGAATGTAGGTAAGTGTCTTTTATTTGTGTGATATATGTGATTATTTTTCTATAATAATTTGACATTATGAAGATTGTCTTATACGTCTAGTGTTAATATTTTTTTTGTTATAGAAAAATCATAATTACTTATGATTTTTTATTATTATTTACATATTATTAGAGGTAAATTATATTTTTTAGTATATGAAATGACTTTGTTAAGAGGTGAATTTATGTTTAGTATCCGATTTTAAAAATAAAGACATTGAGTCACTATGTTATGAAAAGTGTATGAACAAGGTCATGCCGTTAAGTTGACACCAACGACCTTAAGTCCATGCTAATATGGCTGTATTTTTTCTTTTCTTTTCTGTTGTCCAGCTTTTTCTATCTCTTGTTCAGCTTTTTCTCTCTCTTTGTTCAGTTTTTTCTTTGTGGACCTTATTCATATATTTTTTATAACATAAGGACTAAAGACATTTTTAAAATCGGGTAGTAAGCATTTAAATCATTTTTTTATATAGATTTATTAAAAACCCAAAACATTAACTGAAATTTTTAATGATATTTAGAGTGTAAAAGTTAAAGGTATATATATGCAATATCTATAGTCTATTTATTATTTTTTTTTCTCTAGATTATAATGGAGATTCCAATATGATGAAAGTGAAGATTATCTCTTGATTGATATAATGATTTTTTTTATTAATTAAAAAAAAGTTCAAATCTTATGGTCGTGAGAAAGTTCTCAATCCCTTAATAATATCATATTATTAGAGTGTTAATTTAACTTTAATGTATGTATAAATTCTTCAGACGAGTCTAGAAGATGTGTATTAGGCTATTTTAATATACAGTGCAAAATGAACAATAGTTCTTTATTATTTTGAATGTTCACCACTTAAAAAACAATAATTTCACATTGAATTAGTAAATTAGTATAACCGGAAAAAAATGTTATTTTCTAAAGTTTCAATCTTGCAAAATAAAATATTAACTCCAAGTTTCTGATTACAAAAAATGAAGAAAATTTAAGACTCAATTATACATATTTTTAGTTTAGGAACCTAATTAAAAATTGTGGGAAATTTAATAACCCAACTAAAATTTCTTTAGTTAAAAAAATTAAAAAAAATTCAGAACCTACTGGCTACTAATATCCTTTCGATCCGATAAATTAATCCGATTTATCATGAATTAAGTTGCTTAGATAAAAATTTAATTTTTTTAAATATGAGTCAAATTCAACTTGATTAATTTAATTGTGAATTAAACAAGTTGAGTCGAATGGAAGATAAATTAATCTGAAATTATCAATAATAAGTTTTTATTATTTTTTATGTGTTTTTCATTATAATTATTTGCTATTTTTAATTATTTCAGTTAATAATTTAATTTTTAAAAATACTATAATGTTAAAAATATTTGATTTATTTGAATGTTTAATTAATTAATAAAATAGTGATTAATTTGATTATATTACTATTAAAACTAATAATCAAAGGCACTCCACTCTAATAAAATTAAAATAAATATATAAAATAAATTTCAAAAAATAAATAACAAAACATATTTAAATAAGTCAATCTATTTAATTCATCAATTAACTTATATATCATTCAGCCAATGAACTTACTCTTTTTAGTTTAACTATAAATCAATTGATTCACTTTTTCACCATTATTGATATATTATTGAACCATTAATTAAATATAATCTTTTAAAATAAATTAATTAGTCTACTAGTTTCTATTTGATATTTAGACTAATTTAATTTTTGTAATTTTACTACGGCTGTGCATTTTACTTAACAAACTAGTATATTATTCAAATACTTAAATTATTAATTTATATTTAAAAAACTTATTTGAAATCTCGTTTCTATATGAACTATTGATAATATTAGTAATTATGGTGGGGAAAAAAATCTCCATAGAAAGGTAGATATGAATATCTAGAGATGTGAAAATGGATCACAATCCGCGGGTCAACTTGACCCATCACATGTTTGAGTCGGGTTGGATTTGAAAAAGTTATATTTTTTTATGTAGATCAGATTTCAACTCGATTCATTTAAACTCGGCTCATGCGGATTGAACCCGTGGTGGATCGGATTGGCTCACCAACCCATTTTCAAAATTAATTAAACACCAATGGAAGTGAAATTTGTTTAGATTTAAATTATAGAAAGTTTGTAATTTTTTTATTTAAAAAAATTGTAATTAAGTGAGCTAGTGAGTCAACCCGTTTACCCATCAACCCGTGTTAGGTTGAAACGAGTTCGAATTTTGTTGACTCGCTGATAAATGAGTCAGATAAGGTTGATTCACAAATGACCAACCCTGATGAGCCGGACTGGATGACCCGCTCTACAAACATCAGAATTTATTTTAGTAATTATACATAAAATTAACTTTCACTGCACATTTTTAAATAACTTTTTTATTACTATAACCAGAATCAATTTCACAAAGGCTCACTCAAAGAAACACATATTGAATAGAAACGCGTGAAAACAACTTGTGCAAACGCGAAATGTGGTTGATGTTGACCAATGAGCACCTTTATATTCTCCTTTTGCAGAGAATGAAGGTTATAATAACATCATCTGCATTGAATAGAGGAAGTGTGATAAGCCCAATGCTATTTGCACAATGAAAAAAGTTAGAGAAGAAAAACATAATAAATGATTTAGTATTTGCAAGTTGCAGTTCTTTTGAGAATGAAGTTCATCACAGAGACTTTCATGCTCGTGCATGAATGACCTACCTAAAGCATGTTAATGCTACTACTATTTTATTAATACCTCTCAAACAGCTTTTGGTCCCATACCTTAGCATGACCACATTATAAACATTAAATATGTGTGACTCAATGTTCTGTAACATTATACTCCATATCATTATTATTCTTCATTAAATAAACAATTTTATATAAATAATTAACAATAATTAGATTGAAAATATATAAAGTACTCCCACTTAATTAATGAATCAAAAGAATCCACGTTTCAAGGTGGGTTAATGGGTTGACCTGAAAGTTAAATAAAAAACAATTATTCAGAAGTATTTTTCAACATTATGATCCTGAGTTTTATTTTGTTTTCTTGGTTATGTAAAAGTATCCATGCAGACATATTTTGTGTGGTACCAGTTATTTGCTTCATAATATTGAGATTTTTCTTATTTTATATTTCAAATATGGAATAAATTAACTAGAACAGTATGTAATGTAAATAGTTTTTTAAGTGTTTTTCTTCATGATATAATGATCGACTTTCAAATAAATTGTTTAATGAAGAACATAAAAAACTCTTGATAGAAAAATGCACTAATATTAGATTTAGAATTCTTTTTGAAAAGGTGAATTGTTAAGATATTTTTTTAATGCATTTTAAAAAGAAAAATATTAAATTTAATTAAATGTTATAAAATGAATTTATTTTTATTTTTATAAAATATAAATTCATTTTACTTTTATTCCATGTAAATCTTCAAGAACAATGTTTAAAAGTAACTATCTTAATATTAAAAAAAAGCGTTTTCATCTTCGTGAGAGTAGAAATAGAGGTGGTCCGATAGCGGTCCGACAATGGATGGAAATAGAAATGTCCACATAAAACTTATTAGGATAGACTCTAACCATGACTCTGATACCATATTAGAAAATAGATTTTAAGCTTAACTCAACTCCACAAAACTGGCTTGTAAGGTAATATATTATAAATTGATCTTATTTATAGTCGACGTGCAACTTCCAAACGTTTTCATCTTATGACCAAAACGTTAATACAAACATTTGAACGTAGCGTTTTACGAGTTTACTTCGCAAGGGAGGCTAATTTCCCGGAACAAATCTGCATGACACCATGAGTTGTCAAATTTCCAAAGGCACATGGCCTAACAAAATATATACTATATTATTAATAACATATTCAAATTTCCAATATTGTGTCGAGAGCAATTTCAAGACAAGTTTGTATACGGAGAACTTTAATGTTGCTTTGTTCAATTTAATAATCAAAATGATGGCGATTACCAACAACCAATCATCCTAAATTGTTTAACTGTTGAGTGTAAAGTAGCCCCAACCAAATTAAACTCATAATCAACAACCTTAGCATAATCAACAATCCTTTAGAATTTTTTACTGGCATTGAATTTGTTTTTGTCCATGTTAAGGTGCCTAGTTTAATGCCTTCTTCAACACAACGCAAACAATCATGTACTCACCCAAATAGATCGAAAACTAGACTATAAAAAATGGTATGGTCAACTAAATGGGTTGCTATATACTCAACGGGGCATGCAGGATGATGATTAGCATCTTTCCCACTAATATAGAGATACCTTTCATTTCATTTTTATTTTACTACTTGAAAGTTTTGATGTGTTTTAAAACCATTAAGCTGTTGTTGTTGAGTACTTTTAATTACCACAACTTTTTTAAACATTATCTTAAGGAGGGTATGGCGTAAGTTACTACTTTCTGTAAAGGATTCAATTTGTACTTCTTTTTATAAACTGTGCATTTTGTTGAGCGATCTCACAGTACTGAGTGGGACCAGATTATTTTTTGATGCTGACTTTTGGCATAAAAGCATAGAAGGAGCATTGATGATGATGAAGCTGGAAAGATTGGACTGATCTGTATTTTACATTTTACAAGCCAAGTCAGTGGCACGCACCCTGCTTTCCACACCAAATCTACCTCCATTTCTTTCTTCAATGCTTTGCTTTTTTAA